CCCCCCCCCCCCCCCATGGCTCTTTGATTCTACAGTCAAAAATAGCAAAAAGCATTGCTACTAAAACTTCACTATGTTCTACACCTCTCTCTTCTCACCTTCCTTCCATTCCTCCTTCCTTCTAAGCTGAGCTGGTAAGTAATAGAAAATTCAACAGTTTTAATCTAAAATATTTCTTATCATATTGGAATTCCAGATGCTGATCTAGAGAAAGACTTCCTAAGATATTTTCTGCTAGTTTTACTTGCATGTGAGTATTTTAAGTTGTATTGTAGAGCAACACATATTTCAATCTTGTTACTCCCGGGTGTATTGTAGAGCAACACATATTTCAATCTTGTTACTCCCGGGTATTCATATTTGATAATAGACGTATTAGCACGCCGGTAGAAAAAACGCATTGCTAAATGTGTGCGAAAATAAATAAGGTCAACTCATATCTGAAAAGGAGTAACTAGCACATTTTCTTACTTGCAGGAATAGTATGTCGTTTGAAACCACAGCAGCTGTTAAATGTGCATGCATCTTTTCAAGGGCGTTCAAAACCAGCGGAAGCTGATTATCTTTGTACTCTGTGACAACCTAGAAAGAGAAAGCACACACCAGCAAGATAAGACGATCAGTGAGAAAATTACCCAACTTGACATTTAATATGTAGTTCAGACTATTCTATTACCTGGAATGGCCCGAAAATCTCTTTGGTCACGAGATGATAATGTTGTTCTTTGAGTATTTCTTCAAGTGGTATGAAAATTGCAGTGGGTTTAATGGCTCCATAAATTGCAGGGATAGAATGGTTTTGTAAGGCTTCACCACCAAAGAGCAGTCTTGATCCAGGTATCTGAAGTAATTTCTTCGCATGGTCTAGCATTGCTTCAGTTGTAACCTGTGAGAAAAATACATTAACAATCATGGCTAGGATGTTCTGACAAGATTGTTGGCATTACTTGACAATGTACCACCAAGAATGCTTCGTCCAAGAAAAAATGAAAAGGAGCTGGAAATGCAAGTATAGTTAGTATTGTAATCATGCTAACAAACAATGAGCAGGAACCCACTAAGATAAACATTCAGTTTCCATCTCACAGAGTCACGGATTTGATTTAACATGTTCAGATGGACTCCCGAGAAAACTTCTATACTTGTCTGAGTGAATTATTCTGAATATCCAAAAGAGTCCGAAATAGATTCAGACCAAAGGTATTGATACTTTTCAAACCTCTAGTAAATTGTATCTAATGTCACTCCAGCACTCTAGATCTAGACCATCAAATGATGGATAGTCAAATCTCCAAATTAGCACTTTGAGCATTAGGCATTCTTACCGTAAGGACAGGACCAATAGTTAAATCATCTAACTTTCTTCTTGCAGCAAGCTCGGTCATTTTATCTAAGAGAGAGCTTCTACCCCAATTCTGCATCAACATAAATGACAGTTAGAAAAGAGAGTTATCTGAATGAAATTTCACCTTTTACAATGCCTATATAAACCACAAAATATTTGTCTCTAAGCATTTAATTTCCATGGAGAAAAAGATAGAACAGGACAAAGGATACCTCATGCATGAACAATATTGATTGAGCTGAACACTTCTGACCACTACATGCATATGCATCTTGATCACAAACCCATGCAACGTAATCCACCTGTCGAAAGCAAACAATCACAACGAGTAAATAAAACTTGAAAAGAGCTTTTCCAAAATGCAATGAAGCCTGTCGATAACAGATTATGTAAACCTCATGGACATCGGGCCCAAGGATCTTCCAGTCAAATCCAGCATCTTCTAGTTTGACTCGACCACTTAGGTCATCAGCTAACTTCTCTGCCACTCTTGAGCTACCTGTGAAGAGAGTCATGCGTGGTTTCCCCTAGAAATACAAAATGAAAGAAAACTATCTCAGGTAAATAAAAACACACTTCAATCTACAAAACAGAGCAGAAGTAAACCTGTGCAAACTAAAGAAAAGGAAAAGAGAAATAAATCACAGACACACACTTCCCCTTCCCCTTCCCCTACCCTGATATAAAATGAAAGCTCAAAAATGCATTATTGCATATAAAAGCATAATTAGTAGCAATTTTCACAAGTATATTCCATTTCAATATTATTTCCAGTGAATCGAGTCAGGCGATATTTTGGATACACATGTCAATCAATTATGCTTTAATCCCAAACTAGTTGGCGTTAGGTACATGGATCCTCTTTATCCATTCTCTCTACCAGAACCAGTTTATTCCAACACTGGTGAATAATTATATCTTTTGGATACACATGCCTGCACATAAAATTGAAACTTAGTGTAATTTTGCTGGATCCAAATAATGACCATTTAGGAAAAACCATGCATACGTCCTAGGGTCCTAGAGGTCTCGAAAGAAACGGATGGCTCACAGCAGCTTCATACCTCATAGACATTTATCTTTCAAAAGGAACACGAAAATAATGGCTGCAACACCTCCGGGCCCCCCCCCCCCCCCCCCCCCGGTCTAGACAAAAAGGCTGTCCTTCTTCCTCCAATATTAGATAAAAATAAAAATCGTCTTGTACCATTTCGTCGATTTAATCCAACCATGAGGCATGTATAAATACTATACTTGAGAAGGAAAAGAAAAAATTAATTTAAAAGAATGCTAGATTTGGAGGAGGAAATTATTCTCAAGGGACAGAAAGTTTTTGAACGAAAATTTGTAATTGTTATTTGCCAATTCTTACTGATAAGTGGCCCAGAGAAGTCAACTTCAGAAACTAACCTCAATGAGTAGCTTGTTCATCGTCTTTCCATCTGAATTTATGAAATCCACGTTATCCGCAGGTAACCCACAATCATGAAGTAGTCGAAGAAATTGTTCCATAACAACACATACCTAACCAACAATTGAAGTCTAACTATAAGAAGCATATCAGAAAAAATTTTAAAATAGAGTTATTAACAGAAAAAAAAATAGAATAGGAACAGAAATCTTCCATTTTTGTTTTTGAGTAGTACAGAAATCTTCCAATTTTCTGCACATTTTGTTAATTTGACAAAAAGAGAGGACTATGTAAAAGCCATTTTGCAATTTTTGATTCTTTGATAGATGAGAGTCAAGTTTGCTTCTTAGCTGGGCCTAGTTCAGTAAGTGAAATTGCATGCTATAGAGAGCCTATAAAAATTTGCATGACCCACCTTGCTATCAACTTTAAGGACCGGCTTATTCCCCATATATAACGCTCCCATCATCTGAAGTACAGGAATCTCCAAGGGAAAATTAAAGGGAGCAATAACCGCCACCTATAAAATAAAGTTTAAATTCAGGTGCAGTGAGAAATTTTAATAATTGAAGTACAAAATATCCTTCAATCACCTAAGAAAGTCAACAGGGGAATGTAAGAAACAATAACTTATGTGCTGCAAATTTTACCACTATGACCAATGTGACCAAAAGCAGGCTAAGTCAAATCCTTAGATTAGCAGGAAGACATTCATAAAAAATGATTCCAGCGTATAACACAACTTAACACCATCTGAAATAGTGAAGAATTTTATTCCGATAAATTCAAGTGTTTTAGTGATTTTAGTTACAAAACTGCACCTTCAGATCTCAGTTTCAAAGTGAAAGATAGCATCAGAAGATTTTTTTGTTTAACACTTTCCATTAAATCTAGTCAACAACAGCCAGAATGGTGCCTTACTGGTCCATAAGGCCAGCGAAAACCATGGCTCTGCTGCCCCAGATGATTTCCTGGTACTGCAAAAGACCTAGCTAGAAAGCGAACCTGCCAAATAAATCAAGGGTTCAGTGTTCGATCTGACATTTGTGTTAAAGAAAATGGAGAAATGAATCCCATGTGAAATAAGTCCTTCTCGCTGAACCTGAAGTCTATTAAGCTTTCAAATGTTCAGAGTTAATTAAGCTAACATTTAACATAAAAGTACAAATAGAAGGAAGCAACCAATGAGTAGAGACAAAAAACTGTTGAAATAACATAAAGCAGCAATAGAATCACATGGATGTGAAAAGCTAGCCAACTGAATTGTTGCACCATGATTTAAAACAATTTTTTTTCTTAATCAGCCCCTGTATAATGTAGCATATGAGGTAATAGTTATAGAAGGAATAATCTACCTGATCACCACAGAAATTTTCCAGAAATTTCTGTGTGACGAAAACTTCACCATGAGCTTGTTGGTAACTCTTAGGAGACACCCGTTGTATTAGCTTAGCAAAGAAGTCAGAAACCTGAAAGACATAAAGAAGCAAATCATTAAGAGGATAAGAAGTAATTATGAATATCATAAAGTATTTGTCAAATAGGCTAAGAGAACACCAGCATCCTTGCTTGAGTTATATATTACCTCAGGCAAGCCAAGCATATGAGCTGCTTTTGTAGATACGTCTCCAAGCATTAGGTACCTGAGAAAAATGGTGTCACTCAATTCATTTTTCTAAAGTCATCATTTCTTCCTTTCGATAAAAACCCACAAGACACTAAAGGCTAGTCAACACACAGTTCAGCTAGAAAACTTCACCGAGAAAAAAAACCAAGAAAAAGACCAAAACACAATTAAAATCAAACCTTTCTGGTGCTTTGAATGGATTATGTAGACCATGTTTCGGGCACTTGGACAAGCTCTCCACAAATAGCTGCACAGGCAATAAAAGGACTTGTAAAATCATCATATTGAAATCTTAGATGTTAAAGATTTCTGAATAAAAGAAGGGAAAAGTCTTTATATGACCGGAAGTGTAACTGGCCAAAAAGTAGCAAGCCATTTGTCCAGAATAACAGACTCCACAGGTTCAAAGACTCGTCTGGAAAAACACAGCCCAAAGAACTATGATGCATCCAAATTATGTACCTGCAATTCTGATTCATCTACTTCTGCAACTTTAATGAATGGTTGCCCATTCAAGGGATCCACTATTGTATTCCAACTAGAAGATCCTGTCCACTTCCCCTGCACTGGATGGATGAAAACCACCAGTCAATTAGATGTAGCGGTAAACTAGAACCATGACAAGAGTTTGCTATTTGTATATCTACAGAACACATTTTGAAAAAGAAAAGGGGTGAAAGGTAGTGATATAATACGTTCTTAGTGTCTCTGTTACTAGTTTATCTTGCTTGCTAACACGCTTCTTTTTGCTTTTCCAAGTATATGGTACACACACAAGGAGATTAAGAGAATTCAATACTTCCTAAAAATCTTTGTACAAGTATATGCATCTATTCCTAGGCAAACGTTGGACAGAAACTAACTACATATCAATGGCCGTTTTCAGCAGCTAGCTGGAACGAAAATTTACATACCCAAGTTGTGGACTTCAGCAGGTTGAGAGCCTGATATTTCTTCAGCTTTTACCGTAGCAAAGGGCAAAGTATGATTTGATCTGCATTATGATGGACTAAATTAAATGCACTAAAGTGAAGAACATAAGGAACTAGAATTAATGTCAATAAAGCCAAATCATATGAAATTATTGATCTTGTGGAAAATTATAAAAAAATTGTGACATACGAACGTTCATTACAAGTTCGATATGAGAATGACTTTAAAACAACACCCCAAATGCTTGGTCCATACGCGTTGATTGATTAGCTCAAAACAGGAAATTGAGAATATTCAGAGTCATACTTTAGCAGGAAACAGTATCTACGCTAAGCATCACTTACATGGATAACTAGCCCATATCATGACATAATGTAGACGCACATTTCATACGGCAAGTGGAATGAGCATAATTTGACATTGTAAATCCAAAAGTAATAATCAAATAATCATCCAATTGTTAAGTCAATTGACGCCCGTTACTAACTTTTAGTTTAAAAAACAGTAACTTGTAAAACATTTTTACCCAAAAAGTTTCTCCTTAAAACACCATTTTCACATAAAAAAATTTCTCTTTTTAGAAATGTAATAGCTTCGATCAACTAGTTCGGCATTAAGGTGATGTTGCTACTGTAGATTTTCAAGCATCCAACTAGTATCCAATCCCAATTCACCTTGCTCAAAAGAAATGAAACCAACAGCACCCAGAAAAATATACAACTTATTCAAAGTGATCAACCCTTTTTTTTGTAACAACTGCTGCAATAACACAAATACCTGGCAGAATTGAATGAACTGATCCAAGAAACTCTATTCTTCAACTGCCTGTATGCGGCTACTCGATACATGATGATTAGAATTGAGTAGAGAGTGATAGAGCCACTGATTATACAGCTTATATAATTAGGTTAAAGAAGTATTAGATGCGGAAATGAGTACAAAGTAGGTAAAAGTTTATGTACTTTTTGTTTGTTTCAATCAGAGAATCACGTGTTGGTCATATATTTGTTGCGTGATTCACTGCCGTTGAATTGCAACTTCCATTTTTAATATTTATACTTTTTATTTAATATTTATATAAAACATTTTGGAAGTTAGTTCTTAAAAATAGTTAGTAGTACGATTACGTGTCTACATTAGGCTTTTCCTTTTTGATTGCTGACGTGTTTAGATTAGTTTGTGAGAAAAGTTTTGGCTAGTTGTTACTTTTGTTTTTTCCCCCCCTGTGAATCCGAACTACACCCGTTTTGATTGCTTTTGAGACGAATAAAAAAATATTTTTTGAAAAATATTTTCATTGGTAACAAATACACCCTTAGTCTTAAAATTTTTATCTTGACCAACCTCTAGCCTGATTTTAAATAAATTTCACTTATTTATTTATCAAGTTGAATGTTTTTTTTTTTTGGTTCAATATCAAGTTGAATGTTATGAGTTCAAACTCTCCATAAAATATTAATTTTCAAACTGCTTTAGAATTAGAAAATAATCAAAGAATAATTTATGTCAGGTTTTAATTGGTAAGTAGACCAAAAAAAAGAAAATAGTAAATTTGTGAAAGAATAAAATAGATGATATTTTGAGACTTGATTTCTCAAAATCTTGAAATTTTAATTTGGAGAACGTATACGTTATGCTAGTGGTACCATATCCCCTTTGACTATGCTGTACTGATAATCCAATCATTTAAGTCTATAATTAACGCATTTAAAAGCAAATGTTTCACTACAATGACCTCATTTTAAAAGAAAAAGATTAGTTTGTAAAAAAATGTAGCTCAAAGTAACAATATAAAACAAGAAGATAAGTAGAATAAGATAAGAAGAGATAACTTTCTTATTTCATCAAGTGTTCAAGTGTGTTCCATCTCACATTTCATGCCTCTATTTACACTATTACATATGAAGGTTAAAAAATGATTGTCTTAAACATTACATTAACAATTGAGATCATGGGGAAAGATCATGGGGAGAGGTTATGGAGGTGTGGGAGTTACAATCATAATAGTGATGGGTAGTGGGGGGTTATTTACATCATGAGTGAAAATAGTGGGAGTAGTGGACATCCATATTAACTATAAGTTTTACAACACTCACCCTTGGATGTCCAAAAATAGATAATATGTCTCGTTAAAACCTTACTAAGAAAAAAACCCTGTGGGAAAAAATCTTAGTGAACGAAAAAGAGTACACATATCTGTATACGCTTTATTTGCTGCCTCGTTAAAAACCTTACCAGAAAAACCCAGTGGGACAGAACCTAGGCTAAGGGAAAAGAGTACAGTGTGTATCTTACTCCCCCTCATGAAAACACCACTTTATTTCTCGAAGATGCGGCATTCCGATCTTCTGTCTCAACTTCTCAAATGTTGGCAATACCTTAGTGAACAGATCAGCCAAATTTTCACATGAACAGATCTGTTGAACATTAATTTCACCATTTTGTTGAAGATCACGCGTGAAAAAGAACTTTGGTGAAATGTGCTTTATTTTGTCTCCTTTTATGTATCCTCCTTTCAGTTCAGCGATGCAAGCAGCATTGTCTTCATATAGTGTAGTTGGATTATCTTTTTTCATAAGAAAACCACACATTTCCTGAATATGCTGAGTCATTGATCTCAACCAAACATATTCCTGACTAGCTTCATGAATGGCTATTATCTCAGCATGATTTGAAGATGTGGCAGCTATTGTTTGTTTCATTAAACGCCATGATATAGTTGTACCTCCATATATAAAAAAAATGACCTGTTTTGAGTATCGGGTCATTATGTGGATCAGACAAATAACCTGCATCGGCATAGCCAATCATTTCTGACTGGAATTCATTNTAATATAGCAGTACCTCCATATGTAAATAAATAGCCTGTTTGAGATCGGGCTTTATGTGGATCAGACAAATAACCTGCATCGGCATAGCCAATCATTTCTGACTTGAATTCATTAGAATAAAACAATCTCATATCTATAGTTCACGAAGATATCTAAATATATGCTTAACACCATTCCAATGTCTTCTTGTTGGGGAGGAGCTGAATCTTGCTAATAAGCTCACTGCAAAAGCAATATCTGGTCGTGTATTGTTGGCAAGATACATCAGTGCCCCAATTGCACTAAGATATGGAGTTTCATCACTAATGAGCTCTTCATCATTTTCTTGAGGCCGAAATGGATCTTTATTTATATCAAGCGATCTCACAACCATTGGGGTACTCAATGGATGTGCATTATCTATGTAAAATCGCTTTAAAACCTTTTCAGTATATGTTGATTGATGGACAAAAATTCCATTTGGTACATGCTCAATTTGTAGGCCAAGACAAAATTTTGTCTTACCGAGATCTTTCATTTCAAACTCTTTCTTCAAACACTCTATAGCCTTTGGAAGCTCTTTAGAAGTGCCAATGATATTCAAGTCATCAACATACACAGCTATGATGATAAATTCAGATCCAGACCTCTTAATAAAGACACAAGGGCAAATAGGGTCATTTTTGTACCCTTCCTTTAGCAAATACTCGCTAAGGCAATTGTACCACATCCTCCCTGATTGCTTCAATACGTATACGGATTTTTGAAGCTTTATTGAACAAGTTTCTCTTGAACTTTTATGTGCTTAAGGAACTTTAAATCCTTCAGGGATTTTCATAAAAATTTCATTATCCAGTGAGCCATATAAGTAGGCTATGACAACATCCATCAATCGCATATCAAGCTTTTCATGGACTGCCAGATTTATTAGATACCTGAAGGTAATTGCATCTACCACAGGAGAATATGTCTCCATATAATCAATGGCAGGACTTTGCGAAAACCCTTGTGCCACAAGTCGTGCTTTATATCTTACGACTTCACCTTTCTCATTTCGTTTTCGCACAAAAACCCATTTGTACCCCACTGGCTTGACACCTTCAGGCGTTCGGACTATTGGTTCGAAAACTTCACATTTTCGAGTGAGGCCAATTCCGCTTGAATTGCATTTTTCCATTTTGGTCAATCATTTCTCTGTCTACATTCATCGACAGATTTTGGCTCAAGATCCTCATCTTGTTGCATTATTTCAATTGCAGCATTATATGCAAAATTGTTATTAACCACAACGTTATTTCGGTTCCACCTTTTTCCTGTAGAGACATAACTTATTGAGATCTCTTCATTTTCATCATTTCCAGGTACTAGAACCTCCTGTGAGGTCTTATCAATTTCTATGTCCTTATGTCCCTCTTAAGCAATTGCCTCTATGTTATGATCAACTTGATCATTTGCTCCTTTCCTTTTTCGGGGATTCTTATCCTTGGAACCGATTGGTCTACCACGTTTAAGGCGTGGCCTAGACTCATTGGCAGTATCATACTGTCCAGTTGGGACATCAACTCGAATTGGAGCATTTACAGTTGAAATATGCGATTTAGTAACCCGTAGAAGGTTAGTAAATGCATCTGGCAATTGATTTGCAACATTTTGCATATAAATGATCTTTTGAACTTCTTGTTCACATTGATTTGTACGAGGATCCAAATGAGATAGAGATAATACGTTCCAATCTATCTCTTTTTTCAGCTGTTTATTTTCTCCCCGTAATATTGAAAAAAGTGATTCATCAAAATGACAATCAGCAAATCTGGCTGTAAACAAATCTCCTGTCATAGGCTCTAGATATTTAATAATAGAAGGAGATTCATAACCAACATATACTCCCAACCTTCTTTGGGGACCAATTGGAACATATACTGCACATCCAAAAATTCTTAGATGATAATTATTTGGCTCCTGACCAAAAGCCAACTGTAATGGGGAGACTTTATGATAACTAGTTGGCCTTATGCGCACAAGGCATTTAATCAATGATTCTGCTAGACCATTTTGAGTATGAACATGAGCAACCGGATGCTCAACGTTTATTCCAGTGGCCATACAATAATCGATAAAGGCTTGAGATATAAATTCACCAGCATTATCAAGATGAATTATCTTAATTGCATAATCTGGAAATTGTGCTCTTAACCTTATTATTTGGGCCAACAATCTCGCAAATGCCATATTACGAGTTAACAATAAGCACACATGTGACCATCTTGTAGATACGTCTATCAAGACCATAAAATACTTGAATGGTCTACATGAAGGGTGTATAAGCCCACATATATCACCATGTATAGGTTCCAGAAATGCAGGGGATTGAATCCCAAATTTAGTTGCTGATAGTTTAATAATCAATTTTCCTTGAGAACAAGCAGCACAAGAGAATTCCTTAAATTGAAGAATCTTCTTGTTCTTCAATGTGTGCCCATTTGAATTCTCTATTATTCTGCGCATCATGTTAGAACCGGGATGGCCCAATCGGTCATGCCAAATGATAAAATCGTTAGAAATAGTAAACCTNCGTGCACATATTTTTTTTCCCGACTTTTTATTGTAAGTAAGTATAAAGGTATTCAACCTTTCCTTTGTTTGATGTCTCAACATGGTAGCCATTTTGGCGAATAGCTTTGAAACTCAATAAGTTTCTTTGAGACTTACTACAATACAATGCATTATCAATAGTTAATATCATTCCTCCAGGTAGTAATAAGGTCGCTCTTCCAGAGCCCTCAATCAACTTTGTACTACCAGATATTGTACTAACATAGGCCTTTTCATAACCAAATAAGAAAAAAAGTTCTTTTCTCTTAATATTCTGTGAGTTGTAGCACTATCCAAAAGACATAAATCTTCATTACTCATCTTGAATCCAATTGAAGACTAGGAAATTTTAATTTTTTCATAAAAAAAATAAAAGTAAATCATAAGAAATACGAAAAAACTAACATCACCAATGACAACATAAGACAACGTAAGTACTACTTGAAAATAAAAACAACTTTAGACGAGACAGAAACGCTGAAAATAAAAATAACAACATAATTGCATTCCCAGTAAAATGATCAAACTTTAGTTTTGATCTCCAAATAAATCTTCAACTTTCAAATGAG